TAGAAAACGGAAAAGCAGCCAGGCCTGTCCGTATATTGTGGTCTCCAGAACGAATAATTAATCTCGCGCCTACAGATTCACTCAGTAGATGGCGACATGGTCAGTACAGGAACTATATGAAATTACTGCCATCTAGTGTCTGATACTGCCATTCTTCCTACTGATACTAGTGTATCTTTACCAGGGCTCTCACAAATGTTGATTAGGAATTCCCTAGATTGGATAGAATGTCCCCAGATTTTACAAATACCGATTTTAATATTTTTTTCTAAAGAAAATCACATTCTAAGATGCAATCAGAAGGCGAAACTGGGATATTCTACTTAGGAGGTTTATTTTCCATCTACAGCTTCAACATTTTTGAACGCTGTTATAATTTCAGATCAGCAGCAGACATCCCAATGAGGCCATGCCTTTCCTTCCATGACGTAGAACCACAATACTTTCTCTTATCTGTTTTGATGAATTTCAAGGTACTAAAAAGTCTTTCAGCTCGAGAATTCGCACATGGTAGTATCATCATACACCCAATTATATTGCGAAGATTTCTGTACTTTAAATCACCACTAATGCTCTTGACAATCATTCTCTTCAGGACTGAAGATCAGTTTCATTGGTTTTCAGAATGTCAGTTTCTTCAGTGGCTTCTTTCCGCCTTTGCTATTTTGACACTAGTTAGAGGCGATACCGTCCCTCGCTCATGCATTCTATCTTTAGTGAAGGCGAATACATATTCTAAGCATAAATCCCTTAATTATCACAAAGTATGACCAGAAAATACCCAGAAAGCTCAACTCCCCATATTTACCGCCAGATGCACAGTCCCAATCTGGGGACAAAATCCCCAGAAGTGGGGGCGCTGACCTTTACACTCCATAGCACGGCCGCGCCCCAGACTCAGCATCTCCTCGGGAGCTCTGGGGGACACCGACGAGAGTGGCCAACCGCCGGCTCTACTGTTCACCTGGAATACCCTATATTCTACTCAGTACACAATGCTGACTAAGTCACAAGTTAGTATGCTGCTTCTGTAGGTACATTCCAATATCTTTGTGATCCCCTCATGTTCTATCCTGCCTTACATACATAGTGGATTCTTTGCCTTTCAGGGTGAGCATTGCGGGGCAGCAGCCCCCTGCATTACATACTTCAGTGTATTATTACTATAGTTCCGTATTTACTGTATTCTATTCACATTTTACCTCGCAGTTTCCTTGGTACTATCCATGTGCTCCCCTGCTATCGTTGCCATGATTGGCACTAATGGGCGATCAGTGTCATAATTTGTATAATTTTACATAGTAACGAGTATGAAGAATCCATTAATAACAAAATCGTCGCGATCGGTTTTGCGAAGGTATTGCTATATATATAATGTATAACACCTCTATAGATGATTAAATATATGAATAAATAAATGTGTATATATAATCACATATATACATATATATATACTAATGTATTATGTATATATAATATATATATATATATATATATATATATATATATATATATATATATATATATATATGTATACACATATATATTACCTGGTCTCGGAGTCCCTCGGAGAAGGTGAATTCCCTCCTGAGGTCGTCCTTGAAGCGACCGAAGAGCTGCATCTCGAATGGGCTGTCTGCAACAAGGGCGCGGCAGCTGTTACTCTCACCGCTCAGAAGCATACCAAGAAACACACAAACGATGCTTACTAGGAACTACATAGACATTAAAACAAGTACACAAAAATTCGCACTCGGGAATACAGAAATACACAAGAAAACACATTAATATATACATACAGCATACAATGGTCAGGACAGACTCACTGACAAGCGTCTTTTGCCACACATGCACACTGCCCCCCCCCCCCTACACACACCTACTTTGGATCTGAAAGTGGTGCGGCCCGAGCAGGCCCGCCGCCGCCGTCTCCACCAGCGAGAAGTTGTAGTAGGAGCCGCCGCTTCTGCCCACCTTCCGCCACTCGACGCGCGGGTGCTGGCGTGGCGAGGGGCCTGGCGCTCCGGGAGGGGCTGCAGGCGCTGGGAGCGACGGTGCAATGCAAGACGCACGATTAGCCGAAAGTAATATTTGATTCCGCAGACTTTGCAAAGATGAGGTTGCTCACCTCCGTATGACCGGCAGAACTATCTCATGGCTCGTTTAGGAAAGTGGTCTTTGAAAGGGAAATACTAATCAAGTGTGCAAGGCTTCTAGCTGCCTGGGATTTACCTCCAAGCGCGGGGAGAGACAGCGAAGGAAACATCCTGAGGCTGGTCTTCATTTTGGGGCTGACGAGAGCGGTCACGTGGTAGGAGCGCCTCAGGCTCCACAGGGTGGCGTATTCCCCCATCAGGTTCCCCAGGCGACCCTTGGGCTGGCACGTGAGCACAGGCAGGGGGAAGCCGAGCCCGCTGAGGTTCGCGTACCTCACTCTCCGGCTGGGCGGGATCAGGGTGATGGGCGCCGTGTTCGTGGGCGGGATCAGGGTGACGGGCGT